TATATATATATATATATATATATATATATATATATATATATATATATATATATATATATATATATATATATATATATATATATATATATATATATATATATATATATATATATATATATATATATATATATATATATATATATATATATATATATATATATATATATATATATATATATATAATTTCAAGCCGCCCATGACTTACAAAAAATTATGAAAATTTTTATAAGCCAGATGATGTCAGCGGGTGCCGACATCCGGGAGGCTTGAATGAGATGTTCTCCTCACAAACGTGACCAAGCGTGGTAGTTTCTCATTGCAATCATCATGTTTGACTTTGATATAACGCGGAATCACCCCATGCCATATCAAAGTCGATAACTTAAAGAGTATTGACATAGTTAATTTGACTCAACAGCGGCGCCAGGTTACCAGACTGACTTATTACAAATGTTTCCCTCATAGATCTAAACTCCAGTATATGGTGGAACCCTTCACGTATTACTTCCTGGTGTAAATCTATCGTGCCACGTTAACCGCGTAAGTCGTAATGGAAAGAACAGCTACACTAGTGATTCTCCCTGCCGCCTTGACATGCACATATCGAGCTCTGATGAACCGTCATCCGTGCAGCAAGCCGCTTTTTTCTAGCGTACGTATCATTTAGCCCAAGCAACTTTTGGCATTTGTCACCGCAAATTTCTCCGAAACGCCCTTGACAGGTGACCCTTTATAATTTAGGCGCTATTGTAACAAGTAATCATTAGTAGACGTCTTACGATCCTGCCCGACTTTAACTCATGGATTTTCCGAAGAGTACTACGCATGATTGTGCCGATCGCCCCTATTGCCAATCCCATCAGCTCTACTTTTTCAGCAACGATACCGTTTGCTCCCTCGAGTTCTTGAGTCCAATACTTGAGTGGCTCGTATTTAGTTACTTTCGCACTTTCACATTGGATCAGGTGTCTTTCTGATTTCTCAAACGGACAAGTCATATCGATGACTGTGATTTTACTGTCATCTTTAACGATAATGTCAGGTCTATATCGCCTGCCTGTACTAGTGACACGTCCTGTACACTGCCTGTACTAGTGCACGTCCTCTCGCGCCACACACGTCTGCTTGGTCCACCATTGAGTTTGAGCTCTTTGGCGAGTTTATCACAGAGCATCTTGTGTCGTTTTGAGTACGCGTCGCTGCTAGTATGGCATCCAGCCAAGATGTGTCCATCCGTTTCCGCTGTTAAACCGCATCGACGACATTTTTTGAGGGTCTGGTCTGCTACGCACCGCGAAAGGTTAATCTTTGTTGGAATGGCACCCGCCATTGCTTTCCAAACGAGAATCTTGTTCCCGGATTTCAAGTTGTCATCAATCATCCAGTACCGATTTACCGAGGAGACTTCTGCGATAGTTTTGAGTGCAACGCCGTTGGTAATGTTACCAATGTTGTTGAGTCTCTCCACTTCGCAGTGCCTCCTGGCTGCCTTCAGTTCGATACCTTCGAAACCGGCTTTTTCCCACAAGACTCTGTTCTTCTGAACAAGTCGTGCACCAACCACGCGGACTATACCGTCTTCAGACGTAGACATTTTTTCCGAAGCCCTCATACGTTGTATGACAATCCCCTTCGAAACGTCGGGAATGCCTAACCCTTTGATCGAGTGTATCCAGTCACTACTGCACCATGTGGGTAAGTGAATGATGTTTTTCGCCCAATTCCTTACAAATCGTGTCCAACTCCGAAGCTCGCTGATGCCACACTCTGACATCCGCAAAACGTAGTTTACCCGAGAGAAAACCACTTCTTTCAGAATCTTAACTTTTTGCTCGGGCTTGAGTTTACACTCATTTAACTTGTTCATCCAATTCTTCCACTCCTCAATCGGAAGCGCTATCCTACCAGTTGGGTCAATCGAAACACCAAGGTCATAGATGGGATGTCAACAAGGTCATAGATGGGATGTCAACATCCTGGTCTTTTATCCTCAACCATCTATGAGGTCTAACAAGGACCTTCATTGACCGTTTCTTCTCCTTTACGGGAAGAACTCTTAGCGATTGACATTTACCTGGGTTTACAGATAAGCCTTTCTCTTTGAAGAATGTACTACACACTCTCATCAACTCGTTCATCTCCATGGAGTCCTTTGATAGCAACACGTAGTCGTCAGCAAAGGCCATAGATGATAGAACGTGACCATCAAGATCTAACCTGCAGCCTGTTGCCTCTATCCTCTCCGCTAGTTCATCCAGTATTAGGTTGAATAGAAGAGGTGACAGAGGACAACCCTGCTTGACTCCAGAGTTTATACATATAGAACGAGTTTACAAAAGGTTGCAAAAGCTGAAATTCAAGTGGCTGAAGCTGGGAAGGTAATCTGTAGTTGGTTGAGTTGGTTGCAGATTACTGCTGTCGATTTTGCTTTCTATTGAAAGCCTGTCTCTACGGGTCATGAAGCTTGAATTTTGGTAGCTATAGTTTTGAGGGAGGAAAGTGGAACTTTGTACCATCTTTTGTCTCTCGTATCTACTATAGTAAATCCGGTCGTGCAGCCTCTACGCGGCGCAACTAGAAACTTGGATCAGTGATCAAGGCTAATGCATGCCGGGTCTCCTCAGATTAGGAGTATAATACAAATCTGACTTCATCACTAAGAGGCTATGGGGCTAACGATCCTATAGTCTCGATGAACCTTTTGATTGTTATTAGTAGCATAAAAGAAAGTGACGTACCCTCTAGTGGAAAGGGGGGTGTAGCAGTCAATAACATAACAGCAGGAGCTAGTGGAAAAGATACGTGCGTGATCATACACCCTGATACCGATGGTATTTGGTGCTGTACTGAGTGTGTTGAGATACATAACAGCGGTAAGGATCTGAAACGACATCTTGCAAAACGTCACCTGAGTGTAACGATAAGCGGTTACAAATGCAATCTGTGTCCATTTGTTAGTGAACGCCAACTAAGTGTGGGGACACATCTGAGGTACTGCAGAGGCGTAAAAGAAGTGGTTAAAAGAGAGTTTGCATGCGCGAGCTGCTCTTTTTCTTCGGATACGTTCTCAGGACTTTCAGGTGCATATGCGAAGAAAGCATATAGCAGAATGGAACGACCAGCTGAAGGAGAAAACGGAGTTTGCTTGGACAGACCGAGAATTGAGGGAGCTTGCTGAGAAGGAACTTTCCACTCCTTCCTTCAGGTACAACAAAATTTTTTATGCTGCGCTAAGTACCTCCCGGACCTACGACGCTGTGAGGAAAATTCGCTGTAATGACAGATACAAATCTGTCATTGCTGAAATGCGATCACAGATAGCAGAGATGCGGCTGCCGCTGCACAAGAGAGGGATGTAGAGCGGGGTTTAGTTTCAGCACACTCAGACAGAGGAAAAGAAATGCTTCCTGTTGTTGAAACCAAAAATGATATTCAAGTAAACAACGATATAAAAAAGGATAATGAATTAACACCCAATTCAATGCGGAAACAAACTAATCTAGCGCTGGCAAAGCCAGCTGTAATTGAGATGGAGGAAGACTTGGGTAGGCAGGATGTGAAACAATATCTTGCATCCCTGCGCCAAGACGACTACACAAGTCCGGCCGAGCGGTCAAACTTTGCATACTGCAGGGAGGAAACCAATTGGTCTGCGACAAAAAGATAGGTATTACAGATATCGAGAACTACCAGAGGTTTAAGACGACCTAAGAAGGTTCGACCATTTGAGTTTCCAGAAGGGTTCAAACCTAACAGAAATATGAGAAAGTGGAGAAAGTATAGATTCCTTCAGGAATGCTATAGAGAAAAGAAAGCTGAGACTGTTAGCTAGATCCTGGACGGGACTTTTATCAATGAACCGGAGGAAGAGATTAGACCGGAGTTAGAGGAAGTACAACGTATGTACATTGACCGGCTAGAGAAAAGAACTCAGCTGGATACCACGAAGATTGTGCAAACAGACGAGGTGTTTTGTCTGCAAAGCTACGGTCGCATTACGATCGAGGAAGTAAGAGATGTACTAAGTGCAGGCAAGAAGGATTCGGCCTCGGGTCCTGACGGCCTGCTTCTACAGGATGTGAGGAGGCTGGGACCACTACTACTGTGTAACATCTTTAATATGTGGTACTTACATGGGATCCCTGTAGAAGAAAACAGGTGTCGAACAATACTCTTATACAAGAGTGGCGATAGACATCTGGCATCAAACTATAGACCTGTGACAATCGGCAACATGCTGAACAGGCCTTACGTCAAAATCTGGGACAAACGGATTCGTTAGAACGTGCGTCTTGATGAGAGGCAAAAAGCATTGATCCCGGTGGATGGGTGCTTTGAGAACGTAAAAACGATCCAATGCGTTCTCCAGTCTTACAGAAAGCGTATGTTGGAACACAACGTCGTATTTATTGATCTTGCCAAGGCCTTTGACACGGTCTTGCATGACTCGATAAGGAAAGCGTTGTGGCGGAATGGTGTTCCGTCTGGGGTTGTTAAAGTGGTTGACAGCTTATATGCGGGAGCTGTCACAAGCAAAAGTGTTGGAAAAACGAAAACTCGTTCTATATGTATAAACTCTGGAGTCAAGCAGGGTTGTCCTCTGTCACCTCTTCTATTCAAGCTAATACTAGATGAACTAGCGGAGAGGATAGAGGCAACAGGCTACAGGTTAGATCTTGATGGTCACGTTCTATCATCTATGGCCTTTGCTGACGACTACGTGTTGCTATCAAAGGACTCCGTGGAGATGAACGAGTTGATGAGAGTGTGTAGTACATTCTTCAAAGAGAAAGGCTTATCTGTAAACCCAGGTAAATGTCAATCGCTAAGAGTTCTTCCCGTAAAGGAGAAGAAACGGTCAACCTCATAGATGGTTGAGGATAAAAGACCAGGATGTTGACATCCCATCTATGACATACGACAGCTTAGGAAAATACCTTGGTGTTTCGATTGACCCAACTGGTAGGATAGCGCTTCCGATTGAGGAGTGAAAGAATTGGATGAACAAGTTAAATGAGTGTAAACTCAAGCCCGAGCAAAAAGTTAAGATTCTGAAAGAAGTGGTTTTCTCTCGGGTAAACTACGTTTTGCGGATGTCAGAGTGTGGCATCAGCGAACTTCGGAGTTGGACACGATTTGTAAGGAATTGGGCGAAAAACATCATTCACTTACCCACATGGTGCAGTAGTGACTGGATACACTCGATCAAAGGGTTAGGCATTCCCGACGTTTCGAAGGGGATTGTCATACAACGTATGAGGGCTTCGGAGAAAATGTCTACGTCTGAAGACGGTATAGTCCGCGTGGTTGGTGCACGACTTGTTCAGAAGAACAGAGTCTTGTGGGAAAAAGCCGGTTTCGAAGGTATCGAACTGAAGGCAGCCAGGAGGCACTGCGAAGTGGAGAGACTCAACAACATTGGTAACATTACCAACGGCGTTGCACTCAAAACTATCGCAGAAGTCTCCTCGGTAAATCGGTACTGGATGATTGATGACAACTTGAAATCCGGGAACAAGATTCTCGTTTGGAAAGCAATGGCGGGTGCCATTCCAACAAAGATTAACCTTTCGCGGTGCGTAGCAGACCAGACCCTCAAAAAATGTCGTCGATGCAGTTTAACAGCGGAAACGGATGGACACATCTTAGCTGGATGCCATACTAGCAGCGACGCGTACTCAAAACGACACAAGATGCTCTGTGATAAACTCGCCAAAGAGCTCAAACTCAATGGTGGACCAAGCAGACGTGTGTGGCGCGAGAGGACGTGCACTAGTACAGGCAGTGTTCAGGACGTGTCACTAGTACAGGCAGGCGATATAGACCTGACATTATCGTTAAAGATGACAGTAAAATCACAGTCATCGATATGACTTGTCCGTTTGAGAAATCAGAAAGACACCTGATCCAATGTGAAAGTGCGAAAGTAACTAAATACGAGCCACTCAAGTATTGGACTCAAGAACTCGAGGGAGCAAACGGTATCGTTGCTGAAAAAGTAGAGCTGATGGGATTGGCAATAGGGGCGATCGGCACAATCATGCGTAGTACTCTTCGGAAACTCCATGAGTTAAAGTCGGGCAGGATTGTAAGACGTCTACTAATGATTACTTGTTACAATAGCGCCTAAATTATAAAGGGTCACCTGTCAAGGGCGTTTCGGAGAAATTTGCGGTGACAAATGCCAAAAGTTGCTTGGGCTAAATGATACGTACGCTAGAAAAAAGCGGCTTGCTGCACGGATGACGGTTCATCAGAGCTCGATATGTGCATGTCAAGGCGGCAGGGAGAATCACTAGTGTAGCTGTTCTTTCCATTACGACTTACGCGGTTAACGTGGCACGATAGATTTACACCAGGAAGTAATACGTGAAGGGTTCCACCATATACTGGAGGTTAGATCTATGAGGGAAACATTTGTAATAAGTCAGTCTGGTAACCTGGCGCCGCTGTTGAGTCAAATTAACGATGTCAATACTCATTAAGTTATCGACTTTGATATGGCATGGGGTGATTCCGCGTTATATCAAAGTCAAACATGATGATTGCAATGAGAAACTACCACGCTTGGTCACGTTTGTGAGGAGAACATCTCATTCAAGCCTCCCGGATGTCGGCACCCGCTGACATCTTCTGGCTTAAAAAAATTTTCATTAATTTTTGTTAGTCATGGGCGGCTTGAAAGCAAGCTGAAACTTAAAGGAATTGACGGAAGGGCACCACCAGGAGTGGAGCCTGCGGCTTAATTTGACTTAACACGGGAAAACTTACCAGGTCCAGACTTAGTTAGGATTGACAGGTTGATAGCCCTTTCTTGATTCTATGGGTGGTGGTTCATGGCCGTTCTTAGTTGGTGGAGTGATTTGTCTGATTGTTTGAAAGCCTTTTTATGGGCTTTAGTTTTTTATTTTACTTTTTAGTTTTTTTATGCATTAATACGTAATCCCCTGATTTTATATGCAGATATGAAGTTTAACTCTTAAGGTCTTCAGGTAGGTGGTAGAAACGGAAGAACAGGACTTGCGTACAGTTCTAAAGTCAGCCATCAGCCAAAGTTGAGAGAAGGCTCTTCTGTGCTTTGTCTATTTAATCTTCAGAAAGGTGGATTATTCTATTGGACTATTCTAAAAGAAAAGTAAAGATTGAATTTAAATTATTTTTGTAATTTATTTAATGCAAACGTGGTTATTTATTGTTTGGTTTTTTTTTTAATAGGAATGGAATAAAAAGGGACAAATGATGCGCGAAGATAAAGATTGTGGTTTGGCAGCAGTGCTTACCTGTCCTTGTCAAGAGAGGATGTGAATATCGTTTTCATATAAATAATTGCGTTGAAAGCAAATGCGCTAAATGCGATAAAGTTTATAGCAACAATATTCAGTTTAAAAAACATTGTGTGAAACACACAGAAGCGATTCGTTACGATGTTTGCATAAATATTTTTCTAGTCAGCAAGATCTTAAAACACATTAGACATCATTACATGACAACGTTAAGTTTGAATGCAGTGATTGAAAGAAACATTTTTCCACATAAGGCAACATGTTAAGACACAAAAAAATGCATAGAGCTTAAACAATATATTTACGTTGTCTTTTTAAAAATAATATTTGTTAACATAAATGTAAAATTTCTCTTAAATAAATCAGGTAAATGCAAATCACTCTTTGCTGATGGTTGTGATTGCTATTAAGTTTGAGGATAACAACTTGGTTTTTGATACCATCGTTCTACCAGCCTTCTTTGAAACACCAACATTATCTTTAATGCACTTTGAAAAAGAATGCGCCCTTTTAGTACTGATGTCAGAGACATCAAATGGGTTATGACGCTTTACCATTCATTTTTGAATAGACATTTTGCTGCCATTTTTAATTTTACAACGCTTCAGGTTTAACTTTTATTTTCACTCTGTTTTTCTTTTCACGCAAAGTAGTGTTGCTTACTCGTTTAGACTGATAAGAATGACGAAATTTAACAAGAAATATTGTTTTCAATTACTTTTAATTGAGTTCAAAATTTTGCAACATCTTTTAAAAACGAATCATTATCAAAAGGTTTTTCTACTAAGATGCTTATTGTCTTAAATGCCTCTGTTAAATCTTGATAAATATTTTATATATTAGCACTTAGGCAAGTAGTTGCACAAGTTCCTATAATACAATCTTCCTAGATAAGTTTAAGTTTAAGTTAATGAATATATTTAAGGGTTTTACTATTAGCGACCAACATTTTAAATTCTTTGATGGGCATATAAGAAGGATTATATTTCCTTATATTGCAGTTGTACTGTATTTCCTTATATTGTAGTTGTACTGTAAAAATTATTGCGTACATTAACAGTTTGAATAAACTTTAATAATAATTAGAAATTTCTAATTTTATATTTTATTTTCTAGACAAATCGTTTAAATGATTAAACTTTTATTAAATGGAAAACTCAACATTATCCGAAGTTTTCATTAAAAATAAACTCATCACGCTTATCTTTAACATAGTCATGTTATCCTTCGTACAATTGCTCCAATAGCAATATACGAACGCATCTGTCTTTTTTGACAGCTCAGATATGGAAGATAATTGATGGTATGTAATTTCTTTTCCAAATAATATACTGATGTTTACAAGATGAACCATCATATATTCATATCTACATCATAATGTACGCCAGGTGACTTAAAACTGGGTACAGTATACAACTTTAGCCCAATTTTTGATATCTTTTTGTCGATATTTTGAAGAATTTCCTGAGAAGGAAACTTAAACCCGACTCCTTCCTTTCCCTTTATCTCTTCCTAAAAAAATGTTGTAATTATGTAATTTTATGTTCAATATATTGTCTAACTAACCTTGTATAAAAGCCGCATTTTTTTATATCAAAAATCGAACGGCAATTCAAAACAATATAGAAACAATCGTCATCGAAGACGAGCAAGAGTTAGAATTTTCTTTTATCGACATAACCGTGGATGAATTTATGTCAAGTCTTGATAAAAAGACGCAAGACGAAATCATAAAAGAAAGAACAGAAACGGGAACACCGGAAGAAAACGTACATTAGGCAGTAATTAAAAAAGTTAGATTTTTATAAAAAAATTATTCTTTAACTTAAAAAGAATAATTTTTTAATTGTTTTTTTTTTTGTTTTTTTTAGAAAAGTAAATACAATCTCAAACGAAATAAAGAAAGAAAAATCAGTTTTTTGAAAACAAATGTTTAAAAGACATGTTATATTTGACAACACAATGTAAAGACTAATAAATTTTTTTAAAAAAATTTTTTTTACAAAGATTTTTAGTTTCTTTTTATTTTTTTTTTACGCTGCATTTCTTTCTTGTTTTCGATTAACGTACGCTTTGTTTGCTATTTTCCATCGTTTTACTTTTTTACCAACGCGTCCTAATTTACGATTAGATTAATTATCTCTATATGTTTTTTTAGTTTTTCTCAAACATACATATATTATTGCAATTGCTTGGCAACCCTCTATTTTCTGTTTGCGTATGTTGCGAGTTTCTTGTAGAACGTACAAAATCAATTTGATTATTTAAATAATTTTTTACAGTTTCTTTTGATCTAGGTGTATATCTTGTACGATGAATTTTTATTTATATTTTTTTTGTCGTTAAAAAAAATATATATTTATATAACATTTTTATTATTATTTTACAGATTTAATTATATAAAATAAAATGGGTGAAAACGAATTAATAATTAGCCGGACATTTTATCTTGAAGCCTAATGGCAGCAATTTACTAACTATTTGAATATGCATACGTGTGTTATTGATACCATTGACAACGACTACAATAGAAGTTATTTACAAATATGTCGAGTAATTACGCTATTTTTCAAGCTAATCCGGAAGAAAAATTTAATCCTCCAATTATATTAAAAACATTACAAAAATGGTTAAACGACGAAGAACAAAAAAATATTGATTATAATGTACAATATAAATCAAATTTAATACACAATCTTAGCGAATTTATTGTTAGAGTCAAGAACCGTGTAGAAGAACCCATGAACCAGCGTCCATGTCTAAAAAATTTTTAATCAATTTTAAAAAAAATTTTAATATTTTTTATTGTAATTTTATTGTTAAACTTTTTGTAGTTTTTATAGATTAGTTAATAAAAAAATGGAGGTTATCTATGATCACGTAAATAAAGCCATCTACAGATATGGCAACCCTGAAATGGTTTGCAACGCCGAACAAGTCAAACCGTACGAAGCCATGTTTGTAGATGGCAACTCTGTATTTAATCTTCATAATATAGATGTTATGGACGAAAAAGAAGAATATGAAATGATGAATGATCTTGATGAGTTGATGATGGATGATGATGAAACCGACGAAGATGTTGATGACAGTAATAATGATAATGATGATGATGAACAAGATGATAATGATAATGATGACGATGATGAACAAGACGAAATGGAAATAGATATTTATTTTTTGAATTCTGAAGTATAATAATTTGTATTTTTGTTTTTCTTTTATTAATAAACGTTTTTTTTCATATTGCTTTTTTTATAATATGTTGACCATAAATGTCTATAATTTTACCATAATTTTACATAATATTTTTGGTAAAATAAATTAGTTTTTACAAAACATTTAATTCATTTTTAATACTCTTCTTTTTAGCAACTAATTAAAAAAATGGCTGAAGCTATAAACTTGATCATCAACAAAAATGTTATACATCGCAAAACTATGACTGCTTTAGTTGTGGAAAAAAAATTAACTTGACAGAAACTTGGGAAAACGAATGCGAACTTTATCACGAAGAACACGTAGAAAAAATTCCCACCAAATTATGTGTGTATTGTGTAACTCAAATTCAAAAAATTGATTTTGATCAT